TGATTAAGCGCTCAAACACTAACAAACTGACAAGATCTTAAGCTGTCTATACCCGGGTACCCATTCCCACCTGGGTGAAGTGAGGAAAATTCGTGTAAAGTGCCTTTCCCAAGGACACAACGTCGGGCCCCTGACGGGATTCAAACCCACGACCTTGCGGTTGCGAGTCCGAGAGCCTAACCACTAGGCCACCGACGCCACTGACATTATGTGGCAATCGTGACATTACGTTTATGGGACTCATTTTTGCAAGAACATTTAGTGCAATTAATGCTGCGAAACAAAACGTCTTATTTGTACTCTGTTGCTGCTGCTATGCATGATTACATTCATTTATTATTGTCCAAACCAAAAGGAATTGGCACCAGCGTATCGCTGCTCATTAGGAGAGGGTTACATTATTCTTCCCTTTTGTGTACTCGGAATTTAGATGTGAGGCAGCGTGGGGAAATCAGGCGCTCGTCAAAATAATGAAAGTCAAGAAATTGACATTTTTCCGCAGGTTTGGGAATTCTAATCAGATTTTTGTGTTTTGGCTCCTCATCTTTCTTGTCCATTTACACATTTCTGTATGGATTTTTACTGAAAAACGTTGATCGGTAATTTTACCTTTGAAACCATGTGACCCCCACCTTCTTCAATCGCCAATATCCTGACTTGTATCCGACATACACGGATAATAAGGCAAATGGACAGGCTTTAAGATGATACCAATACCTCCATATGTCCCAAAATTGACGAGCACCTGATTCCACCGCGTTGTGACACATAGTTATACTAATACAATCAAATTAAGCCACGGATGATGGCATAAAACCTGGATACCTTGCCCTGTCGCAATATCTGACTTCAATTCCCCCTGATCATTAGGCTGTTTCTCCTCAGACGAGACATAGTAAAAAGGTAAGAGCAAAACTTCTTTACAAATTGGTCGCTTTTAAGCACCAAAAAATGAGTTTTGAGAAAATCGAAGGTAAAGTTTTTGCCCCTTGTTCAGTTTCTTCAAAAGACCAGGTGAGTTTGATCTATAACAGAACAAATATACACAGCAATGAAACCAAACTTCTCCTATAGGCAGGGCAATGCTCATTTTTGGTGAATGTCAAGATTTCTGGAAAGCCCCGAAATCTGGGTTAGCCCGCTTGTCCTTAAAAGCGACCAATTCACTTGGCGTTTATCACACACACACACACACACACACACACACACACACACACACACACACACACACATACACACACACACATACACACACACACACACACATATATATACTACTTATGAAGAAAAGTTTTTCAATCTAACCTCAGTTGTTGTGGAAAAATATGATATAAAAAAATCCCTTGCTCTTTTATATGAGATTGAGGTCATGTGATTAGTAGAAAAAAGTGTGTTTGATAGTGTCTAATAGTGTTTTACGTGCTTACTTAGTATAACAAGTAATTGTAACAGCACATAGAGATTCCAGGATTATAGATGTACAGCATTGATTTGAGAGCGGTGAAGATTTTAAAAGGTGGTTATGAGTGATGATGTGGGATTACGTTTAAGCAGTTTTAGCGTTGGTCCTATCTTCCTCTGCTCTAATGAGTCTCGAGGGACGTGGGCACCCCCTATTCTGTTCTCTACTGGAATCATTGAAAAACATGATTAAGTTAGACAAATTGATAAAAACTGCTGTACAAAGTATGGGTGACATTAATTCACCCGTTAAAGAGATATTTGAGAATAAGCTGCGCCACGAATTTTTCACCTCACTACAGATCTAGACTTGTGAACTGGCCATACACCCTGTGTGTCAGGCTCGTGGGTGGTTCCAAGGATGTGGTCGAGAGGGTCTTGCCGTGACGGGCGAAGAACTGTGAAAGAAAAACCCTCTACACTTGCACCAAGAGAGCTGCAGTAACATGAGCTTGAGGTGACACCGAAACTGCTTGCTGGTGGCGGCGTAGATAAAAATGTTACAGGCGTGATGGGAGATGCCGAGCTCCTCTATCAACTTCCGGGCCGTGAAATAGGTCAGATAGTTCTGCCACGTGGGGTCACGTGCCATATCCTCTAAAGACATTGGCTCCCCGAGCTGTATGCTAGACTGCAGCGTAAACACTATTGTCACAGGCAGCTTGCTGAAGATCAGATAAAAAGAAATCCACATGAGCGTGGCAGTGGTGGGAGTACATCGTGCACCCACATGGCGGTGTAATGTTTTACTGGTCACGTACAGCTTCCCCACCGTCCGTATCTGTCTGAGCACACACAAGTTGAGGATGAAAGCGATGATGGGCACAGCGCCAAACATGACCAGCTCGGACGTCCAGTTCCAGATGACGTAGAAGTTGTTGAAGGTGGAGCTATTGACGTGGCGGACACCGCACTCGCCGATGTCCGGCTCCACGTTCCAGAACACGGCTTGTGGCGACGCCAGAACCACGGAGATGATGATAATGGCCACGATGATCTTGGGGGAGCGGGAGTTCTTGGAGAGTTTCTCGCACGAGAACGGTCGCCACACGGAAATGAAGCGCTCCACTGTGAAGGCAAACACGAGCAGGAGAGAGATGTACTGAGTTGTCATCTGGAGAACGTTCCAGATCTGACACCAGCCCTGGAGTAGAAAAAGGGGGTAAATATTTCAGAGTACGGAAGAATGAGAACGACGGACACTAGACTTTATTACATGTTTAAACCGCTCCACGTCATTAACGTTCTCTCTCTCTC